ACATAGGATTGTCAACTACGTAATTTGTGCGTTTCAAGACATTTCAACCTTGATCAAAGAGGATGTCAGCGTTCGCTGAACTTACTCTTACCTAAGGCTTGTAATCACAAGTTTATTACGCAGAGTATGCAAGAGCAGTAATTATTTTGCGCTTTCTGACCACTTCATTGGTTTTCATGCGTACTCAAAAAGGATCATGCAATGAGTCCAAACCTCGCACAAAATTCTTGGATGATCAACCGTTTGTAAAATTGGTAATGACTCTTCTATGACGAGGCAGGGGTTCATTCCATCATGCAGTTCGGCGTTTGGTAGAACTATAACAAATAAAAGGCGGTGAAAGTTGTATTTGAATCTTTTCCGGTCTTTTCATGCTCAGAATGAAGCGGCATCTCAGCGACGATCATCCTGAATGTTCGAAAAAACGTACGTAAGATTTATCAGTAGTACTATAGAATATGTTCGAAGCTAATGTTTGAATCATGCATGGCTTAGAAATTCTCGCAATGTCCCACCAAGGGCAAAAGCTCATGAAATATTTTTTTGTCGAAGAGGGTAAAGCGAAGGCGAACACGAATTTTGGGAAAAATTGAGGCAAATTTGTCTTTTGCATACATTTGAATCAACTTCCGCATCTTCCAATCAAGCTAACCGGGAGTGAAACCAAATCCTGTTCCCTATTCGTTTGATTTGATTGCCAGGGATTTGCCCAACGCGTACTGTAGGCGTGCGTCTTTGCAGTTCTTCTGTGAAATTACGTCTTTTATATAGCACAATGAGTGCTTGCCAACAACTGAAATAATGCACGTAATCTTCAATGCTTCAATTTGCTTCTTTAAAAGTTTTTAGCAAATGTCATTGGATAACAAAACGTATTAAAACGCAGTATATCGCTAAACCACAAAGTCAGCGTAAATAGAGTTTCTTTTAGCTTAATCTCTCTTAAAATTTCGCACGTTTTCTCTAGGCTATTCCTTCCTATAAGGCACTACTACATGAGAATGCCACTTGTTTAGTTATTACCTGTCTAGCAGATATGATATTTTGTCAGTAAGAACCTCTTTTATCATGTAATTTTGAAAAGGAAAACGTCAAACTTATAAATTTGGATTTTTTCTCTTAAAAATGTTCCAACCGATCATGACTGCTTCGCAGGTATCTATTTCATGTTCCCTGTCACTGTAAAATCTGTAATCTGTAACTCTTCATTATATTGATGCACAGAAATTCGACGGTTTTTGATCCGTTTGTGATACTTTTTTGTACTGTCCAAACGGTACGCCAATAGTCAAAGCTCATGGTATTAGGTTGGCTAATAAATAAGTTTGGTCGCTTTCTCAGCTCTTACAAATGCTGTAAACAAATTTTTGTCCAATATTTGGTATCTCTGAGAAGAGAACTTCACTGGGCATTGGAGCATATATTCTGTTTGAGTAAAACTTATTTTTCAAGGAAAAAAATCCGCCAAGAAGTGAGAAAGCGCAATTTTCTCATAATGCGCAAATATGAGGAATCTGGTTTTCTTAGTGAAACATTTTCAAAGTGGCAGATCACATTTCCTTTTGTTGTTCACTACTTACGGAAAACTCCTCTGCATCCAAGCACCAAAGTGCTGTTCTTTACATCCATTACAGCAAGAAAACGAAGCCTAGGAAGTCAAAGAACTAAGCTTTTGGAAATTTCGCCATGTTGAGGCATAACTGTCTTTAATATAGAAGATCCTGATTATTTGATATGCGATAGAGGATGCTTTGAACTACTTTCCCACAAAGAATCATAGTTTGAAAACAACAAGAAAATTTTTATGATGATCTGTATGCCAAAACGAACTTATTTTTTAGCCAATGTAAAATCAGAATCTTATATAATAATCTTATATTAATAATCTAATAATCTTATATTAAATCTTAATCCTCAAATCAGAAACCTAAAACCAACCTAAATTAATAAAATCAGTTTTACATCGAACAATTCTGGATAGCTGCTTTAGCATTAAGGTTAAGCAATGTGCAACTTGCGATCAACTTTGTGTACTCGGTTCCATTTCATAATATTTGGAACAAGATATATAATGATATCTAAAATCTATAGCAACCACAGTTTTCGTGAATGGACAACCACATTCAAAGTTCTTGCAGATGGCAACCTTGCAAGTAACAATTCTCTTGTCATGGTAGTACGAGTTCGAAGAAGAAAAGGTGCGCTGAAGTGAATAAAGTCTGAAGAATTTGCGACTAAAATGCTTCATTACATGTAGTCTTTTTTCTCTTTTTCGTATTCCTCTTCTTTATCCTGCAGCAGAATTATCGTGAATCTTTTCTGCTTATGTACTTGAAATTATCTTTTCACATTGTAATATCAAAAGTTTCATGCATCTACTCAGGCATTCTTGCCAAGTCCTTTCATATTATCTATCCTCTTTGCCGTAGAGAGCGCAGAATTTTTTTGGAATACAACGTAGGATGAAGAAGCTTTTGCATGTTTGTTTATCTAACTCTACACTTACATAAGTATATACAAAATGATGCAAAAATATGGCTACATACTGGAGCATCTTGAATCTTAAGATTTGAAAAATTCGAAGCTTGGGAGATTTCTTCCTGCACGGGGAATCTCATAGATCAATAGTTCAATGAGTCGCTAACATGATTTTATCAAAAACGCGAAGTTTTGAGGCTGTCAATCTATCCAAACCCTCAAAGTCTTCATACTGAAGTCCGAGTCACATGCAACGCAGCTCATGGCGGCTTTTTCCCCCGCCGAATGTTGCGTTATGCGAAACGGACTTTTGCAACGCTGTCAACACAGCTCCTTTTTTGTTTGCTCCGGAGCTGAGAGAGTTGAGCTGTCAACTGAGTGCAGTGAGAGCTTTGTTTTTCGAGACCACCTGTTCAAGAGCGGATCCAGATGCTTAAGTGAAAGATCTACCACTTGAGACTAAAATCCAGTAGAAAAGCAACATGCTACCAGTTTCTGATTCTGTATGAGGTATAGCCTTAGCCAAGGGTTGAAAAACTGTTGGACCTCCTCTTCTCCGCGTGTGACCAAAATGTTCTTACAGAAAGAGTTTCGCCGAATGATGACGGTATCACCGTGAGAAAGTGCATTACAGTATGATGACGTTTGATTTGATTTATGTAGCATACAGGATCAATTAGTGAATAAGCTGGGTAAAACTGGTCCCTGATTATTGCTCTCGCTGCTTGTTGTCATTTTCCACTCACCGGTCATCACATTTTTTATTTCATTATAAATTGCAAGTATGGAATACTCAAAAAACTTTTAAAGTGCATATATAGAATGAGACAGCCGTTTCACCGATCATGATTTGTCATAATAGATGCGTTATCGAGCATATCTAAACGTCACACGTGAGTTGTACACATTAGTCATAGAAAAAGAGGAGAGAAACTCAAAAAGTCGCGGAAATTTAGAATTCTCAAGCGCTGACTAGAAGAGGCAACATTGGAGGTTGTGAGGGAACAGTCATGACTTGTGCAAAGAACTTCATAGGACAGCAATAATGTCATATTTGAGTCAGATATAAGTCAATCGTGCTATCTATTTCTCCTCTTGCTGACTCTCTCTTTCATCATACATCACAGAACAAGCGTTATCAGGCTGTTAAGGAAGTTCTGCACTTTTTCAGCATTTTTTCTTCAAATTCTTATGACTTCTTCCGGAATCGACATTCTTGACGTTGAGATTGTTGATTTGTATGGATTGTTGATTGTTGATTTTGTGTGGATTCGAACAGCTTGGCAGGTGTAGGGGCGCATGCCTTCTAATATACATAGGCGAGACAGAAACAACAAATTTGATAGATTTCTCATACCAACGCTCACATTTAGGGGTAAAAAACGACAGAACATGGACACATCCCTGAGTGATAAAATCTCCCTTCCTGCTCTAAACTGCAGATTAGGCGAATTGACGTCAGTACCGTAAACCGTTTTACTCATAGCGTTAATAACCCAAAAACTGTGCAGTAAATATTTGTGCTATCAGATTGGCTCACAAATGAAGTCACAGATGAATTATGGGAAGTAAGAAAATTTTCGATTCCATTCGAGCAGAAATTATTCTTTTAATACCGAAATGAGGCAGAAAATAGAGCAGCAAGTTGTTTCCACGAGATTTTTGAATGGACATGCTTCCAGGAACGAGGTCAACTGGTTATGGAATGCGCTTTGGTGCCCGCACATCAGACTTCATATTTACTCCATTTGCAATGCCATAGACATCAAATAGAAGGGATCTGGGCTGCCCAAAAAATTGGTTTCCACGAATATGTGCCCGGAAATGCTCACATTATTGCCTGCAGAGATTCATGAATAACGAGCCACAACCTTTTGTGGTTAGCCATGCAGCCAAAGCTTGTGTGTATCCAATCACCAAATCACACACCTGTTCACTCCCTACATAGCTAGCTTGAAAATGGACTCCAAAGGTCAAAATAGTGATTTTTTGGAAAGTTAGCTATGTAAGAGAGTGATTGCCCATCATTATGATGAATGATTTCGAAGTATACTTAAGTAATAGCAGAGGTTTTACCCCTTACTAAACCCCTTTAGCGAATAACAACTACTTGAACTGTTGAAGCTTTGAAGGCGCATGTCAAAACGAAATTATTTATAAGCCAACCTAACTTTCGAACATTTTTTCCATTGCGCGGCAAAGCGATTTTGGATGTTTGTGTGAATCAAACGCGACAAGGCAAAGTAGTTTGTGTCTCCTGCAAGAAAAAGAGAAAGATCACTACCTGTCATCAACATCATTGGTGCACTGAAATTGGGTACGTCATGGGTTTCGGTGCTGTAAAGTACATACGTAGTAAACACGTCATCAACGGCTCGCGAAACGAAATTTGCAAGCGCTGACGTAGGAAGTTTTTTTTTCTGAGAGAAAAGACCCTTTTTTTCTGGTAATTCGATTCATCCGGGGTACCTATATAATTGCACGAAATGACAACTTGGGAAGTTATTGTAACTGGTTGAGAATCACAGAACACCAGCGACATGTATTATCACAAATTCCTACTTATAAATGATGCTCTTACCAAGGAGAAAATGCTAGGTTGGTCTGATTTTTCGCTTTTTTATACATATAAAAGTATTATGGAAGATGAAATCGGAATCTTCTTATAATCAAGGTCTTCCTACAAATGTTGCATTGTAACAATCTAAAATTATATCACTTGTAGGTTTCGTCAAGTTTTCCATGAAGCTAGTATATTATACCTCTGGATTTGCAAAGGTATATGTATTATATCTGCTAAGTTTTAGATCGCCATAATCAAAGAATGTCACAACTTTCGCTCCCACATTTCTCATTTTTCATATTCCTTGAAACTGCCTCTGCTGCGCAATACTGAAAATATCATGAAGCCCAGAAAAATGACAGTTTAGTTCTACAAGTTGATGAACAAATAAATAAAAAATGTGGCTAGTTGGTTCGCGGATTATCGCAGGCTTATATTGGTTTTGTATTAGCTCTGTACAGTAACGCTGTTCTTGGGGTACCGGCTCTGAAAAATCAGGAAACGCTTCAGAAAACGGACCGAAGCAGGTAAAATGTACGTTTGGCGCACACGCGGTATCAAAGCCTTTGCTCGAATCAGGAAGGCTGCGCACACATTTACTTGATAAGTTAACTTTTGCTTTGACATGCTTTCCTGTCAAATAAGAGTAAAAACAAGTTTCAGCCTGTCATGCAAGTTTGCGCAGACTTCATGAATAATCGTAGAATGTACTAGTATGTGCGATTGCAGATTAGCGCGTACATGTTTGTGCAAAAAATCAGTGATTCATAAATGTGTATACAAAAGTGGGCTTTTTAAACAAGCTTGTATTAGGTTGTTACATAAGTTTTGTTACACCCAACTAAAAAAATTCTCATAACTTTGTCAAATAATTTTTCCTCACCTCCAAATTATGTGTGGTGTTGCAGATTTTTGATATATACATGTCACACATAAAATTTAGAATTTTTTGAAGTTTTTCCGAATTATTTTTGGCAAATTTCATCTTTACTTGTTGACGAGCTTAGACTTTCAGACTGCTTCAGTTTTACTACCAATGCTCCCAGAAGTCCATAAGAAATCTTAGAGGATGGAAAAGAAGAATAGGAGAGTTTTAAATTTCAAAGAAAAAATGCACCTCTATAATTGCTGTAGTTCATGTTGTGAGGGCATAAATGGTACCAGCGGATCCTTCTATCTATTCTAAATTGCCAAATATGAGAACTTGTCGAACTTTCTCGAGTTTTTCAGGGGAAGACGAAGAAAGTGTAACAAAACTTATGTAACAACCTAATATTTTTAGTTATACAGCTCTCAAAACTGCAAGGCGAGAGAACGTTTTGCACATCACTCGGCAACACTTGAACAGTGCTTTCTTGTACAAGCTGTTGGCCAAATTCTGTTTTTGTGATCTTGGTTTTCATCTTTGCCTAAGCACTACAAAGCAGCGACGCTGTCAGCTGACTCGTCATTTTCGCATAAGGGAAGTTGATGCATCGGTAACTTTTCAAAGATCATCTGTAAGAGCTCTTAATAGCTTTCAACTAATGCAAAGCGTGGCCTATGCTGGTATGCTGTTGTAATTTTCTGAAGTGATATGACCACGAAGTCCAATTCGAAATTTGAGGTTAACCGAAAAATTCGACTTTTCAAAAAGTCACTTGTTCTCATCAGCAACATGCTTAGCAGTATTGTGTTAGATGTTCAGTACAACTTTGGAAGGTTTTCGTTAACTTCGGAGAAAGAAAAATGACTCTAAAGAAAAGCGCCGGGGACCATCAGGGATCATACAAAAGCTGGAAAATGCGGTTTGTACAGTTTCTCGCTCCTCTTCAACATGTTCATAGTGAAGGGTAGTAGGAAAACTTACGGATAGGTACACAACGTGAAATCCAGGTATCTGGAGTTTCGAAATATAAAGCTTTCTTCTAAGCTGCGATCCCCTCCCCGCGGAGATGTTAGTGCATGCGGCCCTTGGTCTCAATATAGATGATGCCCTCTAGCCAACGGGATCATAGTTTTTTTCCCATAAAATGGTAGATACCAGTGCAACCGTACGCGTGATCACCCAGTTTGACTTGACTATATACGCTGGCTTTGCCTATTGACTTTATTCACATGCTAATTGTGGTTCAGAACTTTTTTTCCCAGTTGAATGACCAATCCATACCTGAATGTCTGTCTAGTGTTGCTGTCGAAATGGGCTTTCCAGATAAAAGCTATCTTTTGTCAAAAAGCATTGGACTCCGATTCCAAATCTGCCTTCGATATCTGCTGCTTGCCTCTGGATCATGAGTTAGGAACGGTTTAGATCGAGAAAATAAACTTGCAACCGGACCAAAACTACAAGATTCTGAAATGGGCCAGAATTGGGTATCAGGGCACTTCACGCAGTGGATACTGTTTGGTCAGTATACTCACACTCCCACTGCTTATTTGAGCGCTGGAGACTCAGTAACGATTGATTTATCCAGATCATGTGTTCATTTTTCCACTGAACAAACACTCATAACTCTGCGTCTAGGGGCTCGCAGCAGATACCGAAGACAGATTTTGAACCAGCTTCCGACTCTTTACAAATCTGAGGCTCATCTGCAAACGCCACTTTGAGTGAAAATACCTTCTTGTTAGTTACTCCTCAATAGATGCTGATTAGAAGCACGCAACGCCACCACTTCCGTAACCAACTCCATTCGCTTATCTCGATTTAATCATCATTTATCACATGTAATGCTATTTTACGTCAGATGAATCACTTCAAAAGACAATGTGATTCACAGCTTCATTACACTTCAGGCCTACCACGTCCCTTGCCATGATGCAAATTCATTCCTTGAATGGAAGTCTTTCCATGTTTTGCTATGCTCTTACAAACTTTCTTACAACTTTTCTGAATATTCGGCAACATATAGGGGCATTCGGCTTCATCTCATTTCATGCAAATTTTCTGAATATGGGAGCTTGAAAGGCGACCTCATTCCGTAGAAAAGAGTTGGTTTGAGCATGTTGGGCCAAAATTAGCCTAGTACGGAAAGATCTTGTTGGCGTGAATGTTACAAGCAAACAAAGCCAAGATTGACAATCGAAGAAGTTTTCTTCCTTTGCTTTGAATTTTCAAGCAATTTCAAGCTTGGTGCAACATGCTTTCACTTGTATTCTACTTCCATAATAAGGAGGAGCAGAGGACATCCTGACTTCACTATTATTCTCCGCCTGCGCGAACGTCTGGCACCTAGTGGGAGATCCCACCCGACATCAACAAACACACTTCCAGTATATGCACAGGCTAGGTATCTGCTGCATTGTCCGCGCGGGGCCCTTCTACTTTCAGCGCAGCGACATACAGTCCTCTACCCTGAACTAGGTACGTGTATTCTCGATATCAACCCATATGTCTTCCCTCAACATGACATGTATTACTGGATTGATGAGACGCCACCTCGCTTCAAGCTTACGCCACGTTGCGTGCGCCTCTTTGGCGTGGTGTGGAAACAAGAACAACATGAGGAAGCCTCCGCCCCGCTTACTTTGCTACTTCCGGAGCGGATTTCTCGCTCCAGAAACAGTCTTTTGCGGCGAAGTTTGGAGGTTTGCCTAGTGTGGGTGCCCACACTAGTATGCCATCATAATCTCATCAACCTCCATTTTGGGTAGACGTTGCCTTTAAAGGCCGTGGCTAGGGAAAATCGCAACTGCGAGTTTTCCACACATACATGGTCTGTACGCGCTGAGTCCAGTGCTGTACTTGAAAAGTCATACAAGTGTTTTTACTGCGTTTTTATAGTGGAAATAGCCGCAGGGGATGGGCGAGGGAATCCCGTCGTAAACAGCGATTGGCTGCAGAAGACTATAACTACACTCTATTTTGACGGTAATTGACTGATCGGCACAGGCAGCCAACTGCGATGTTGGCGCGAATCCCTCGCCCATCCCAGCAATCTCCAGGGTAGGAAAGCTTCGTAATAAGCACTTTTTGACTTTTCAAGCACAGCAGTGGACTCAGCGCAATCAGAAAGCCATATAGGTGTGGAATGCTCGCAGTCACAACTTTCCTGAGCCACTGCCTTCAAGCACTTTTTACGCGCAAGTGGTGTCGGCACCGTAGGGACACTCTCTTAACCACGTTACAACTTTGTAGCCGAGTGCTTAGTCTATCTCAAAAACTACTTTGACCATCCATTTGCGAAACAGTAGTGCCAAGAAAATTAGGTTATGGTCTATGCAACATTGAAGTGCAAGTCTAACAAAGGAAGTACCGAGGCGTGGCTTTTCTACATCGTAGAAAATACTCGTTCCGAAATTAGATTGGATTATTAGACGAAACGCTGACCGCAAATTTTTGTTCTCTATAAGCAAGCATTCCAGAATGTGCAACAGAAGATTTTTCTCGCTGAAAGCGTTCATACCTTCCTCTAGAGAATCGCGTTGCACATGGCGAACTTGAATTTGATCAGCATTTCTGTATGAAAATCCCCAGGAAAACATTCATATGGAAAGACCACGGTGATCTCGATCTCCTTCCTCTAAGAGCTCACAGAGCAATCAAATGAGATTAATTTTTGCACCTGTGCTACTACACGTTAATGAAACTGTCTGCACTTGGTGTACCTTTGCCTTTGACGTGATGATGTAATGAATCTTTTATGAGGAATCAAGTCGGAAGTCAGAATTTGAGTGAACACACTTGAAAGGAATCTCTAGATCACTCGTGTTTATCCTATTCCACTATGTCGACTTCAAAATATACCACTATTTTAATCTCTTTCGTCGCAATATTTCTGCTCGATCAAAGATAGCTATAAACCGTCTGAGAGTGTAGGACTCCTATGATCCTATGACTGCCAGCTTTTTCAAATCTTTTGCAAGTTGTAGTTACTGTCAAGTAAAACTTCACGCACTTTCCTCATTTTTTCTGGGAATTTTCAAGCCGCAAGGAAGCCAACGCTCCTTGCTATTTCATTCTTGTAATGCGAATACGACTACTTTTCTTTTGAAGGGAAGGTTGCGAGATTTATGGAAAGATTGAAGTGAGAAGTGAGAAAGATCTAAAAAAAAC